AAGTAATTAAAATTTTTTGGTGAAATGCCCCTTATAATTTTGTAAGAATGAGTTAATTGCCCCCCATGAAAAAAGTTTTTGCATTCGCAAGTCCTGAATATTTTTGTTGCTAAATATTTACGGAGTATCATTTTATATTTGATGAATCATTGAGTCAAAAACATCATAATCATACATTTTATACGTTAGCTAGAAACATACATATTAATTCCGTCCACAAAGTATTTCAATAAGAAGGACAAAATAAACGTATGTCAACCTTTTTTAAAAAATGTCTTTGCCAATAATAATATTATGGTTAGGAGAAATCTAACGTAATTCCTCAAAATCCTCACATAATCGTGGAGCGACTGACCAATTTTTTTCCTATAGGTGTATTTTGACAACTATTGTTAAATCCCAACCGATAAAGGAATTATTTTGAAGTTAAGGGGCGATATCATCAGTAGTATAGACTTTAATTAATCGCAAAATATAAAAGGTTTCATGTTTCTGATTTCAGGGTGTAACTACCATCATCGTCTCTATGAGTTCTTCTCTGCGCTTAAGTCATAGAAAAACAAAAAACAAAAATCCAAGAAAAGTTCAACCATCTAACAACCGACATGGATAACTGAAAAGAGGCTCAACCATGCAAAAGCCGATGTATTAGACGATAAATAGCAAAATACAAGTAAATAATATTTGACTAGCTGTAATCTTGTTCAAAAGGAGATGATACAAGAAACAAATAAAGTATATTGCAAACTAATAATCTATTTCTTTCCTTTTGATCCCTTGATTGATTTCTAGTTGCACTAAACTTGGAACATAAGAAGAGAAGAAAAGTGGGTTATTTCTCCAATGATGTAAGTTGTTTGGTAGCAGTATTTATCGGTCCATTTGAACGTCCCCCAAAAGGACCAATGGCGCTGCTGGTTGCTCCTAGGAATGAAGTTGCGTTCGAACTTCTCTCCTTCATGAAACCATTTGCGAAATTACTTGGCATACTATGTGTGTATATTTGTGGGGGAGAGGAAGGGGAAAGAATCCCTCACATCAAAGCCTCCTCTAAGAATGGTGGACACATTCTTATATCGACGTTGGGAAAAGTTCAGAGCATTATAGGAAAAAAGAGCAGCTTGATCAATCTAATGAGTGTAACTTTTTTGGTGATGGATGGCGCAGAGAGTCTTACGAAAAGGAATGTACAGTCGATGGCTGACTACCTCATTAAGAACGTTCGTGGTGATAGGCAGCTGGTGGTTTTCTCAGCCATTTCTCACCCAGATATTGAACAATGGTTGGCTAAACACCAGGAAAATTTTGTGCACATAACCCCTAGAGCTGCAGCTTCTGTCCATGGGACTGCTCACGTTCCTACTGATGAATATGGAGGTATGTAACTCAGTATACTCTCCAAAGAAAACACTCATTACTCAGTATATATTTTACCTTTTAACTCTTTGAAAAAAAACCAGTTATAGAACAGAGTTTATGATGTTTTGAGACACAAATTGTCTTGTCTTTGTAATAGGGGCTGAGAATGACAAATTTTGATTTTTGGAAATAGGCTTGACCCGTTTTAGAGTCCGATTTTAAATCAATTACGAGTTTATTTTTCTCTCAAAATCAATTACAAGTTTATGTTTCTCTCAACTAAAGAGTATATGCACAAGTAACCACTAGACTAGCGCTACTTTCCGTTGATTAAATGGCCCCTAACATATATATTATATTGAGCGGTCCCAAGCACAAGCTTCACTTGCTCGTATCCAAGGCCGGCTCTGGGTGGTGGTAGATCACATCATTTTGAAAGAAAACAATGAACACAACGCTTGAAATGGACTCGAGACACTAAACGCCGTACTATGAGATCATATTGTATGTATTTGTCGGTGTATAGTCTTTTATATCCTATATATAATTTTTTTACTATTTATCTAATTCAATTATTTGGCAAATTACTTACCTAGTTTTGTCTCATAAAATTGATATTCGACTATTTAACTCTATTTAAGATTATCAAATATAAATGAGGGTAAAATTATAAAATAAGGTATAAAACACATAATCTCACCACAATCATAGCTTTTTAGTGTGATTAGAGTTATGTACAAATTGTGAACAAGTAATCACATTCTAAAACTTAGTGAATCACATCATTGTCAAATCGGATTACAATTCGTTGGTAAACCATGATTAAGGACCAATTGCATTACTTCTTGTTGCTTCAAGATGTGATTCAAGGATTCTAATCAATAATTCATTAAAAGACCTTATAAAACTCTCCAAAAATACATATTGCTTAGTATAGATTACCTTTTAACTCCAGTGCATATATCTTTGGAAATAGAACCATTTTAAAACAGAGCTTTAAGATGTTTTGAAGGACATATTTTGCTATCTTTAATTTGTAATAGACTGAGACTTTTTGACTTATTAGTAGGATATTCCTCTCTATACTTCGCTAGTTAATGAATTCATGAGTTTTAAGTGTTCATTAAAGGGACCTTAAAACGCTTCAAAACACATAACTTGGTCACTAGAGCTTTGTTTTTAACTCCAATACTACTTGACCTGTTTTAGAGTAGAGATTTAACATCAACTTATTGTTTTAAGAAGTTTTGTAGTGTTTCTTAGTCTTTGTAATAGACTGAGAATTAGACAAGCTTTTAACTTGTTGTAGAAACATAAAGTTCGTTAAATGGGTAGCTTGATAACACAGAGTTTTAACC